CACACACACACACACACACACACACACACATGCACCTGAGTGATTTTCAAGCTGCTGGCTCTGGGACTTGAACTGTGGGTAGCCACATGAGAGTCCAGTACCTTAACCACCATGCCACATGCTGGCCCCCATTCCTAATCTTTCAAGTGCAACCTTCATTTCAATCAGTGTTCATCTAACTAAAATTACTAAAATCTGTGGATTGACTGAAAGCAAACATACCACAAAGTTACAGTGGTTATTGCTACATTGGGATTACAGGGTATTTATAATTTTTCCATCTGTGCATTGAGAAGGTTTTTTTTTTTTTTTTGGAGAGGTTTTTACTACAGGGCATGTGCGTTCGCCAGAAAGACAGAGGGAGACAGAGAGACAGAAAGTGAGAAATCGCCCCCCAGGGGGGATGGCCACGCTGCAATCCCTGCTCCTCCATTCTCCTCTCGGGATCTTGGGCATGCATGCACACGCGCCTGGCGTGAATTTAAGCCACGGGGTCCGGGACTCGAACCACAGTCAACTACATGGGAGTCCAGCGACAGAGCCATTACGCCAACTGCTGGTCCCTTGAGAAGGTTATTGATGAGAGAGTAAGAAATTAGAATTCTGCTCCTGGCATCCATCACCACTCTTTTTTTTTTAAAGAATTTATGAGTATTATTGTTAATAGCATTTTTCACATGAGTTTTGCAGAGAAAGACGGGCAGAGAGAGAGAGGGAGAGTGAGAAAGCAAGCTGCCAGGTCCAGGACTCAAACCATGGCCGGCCATGTGGGAATTCCAGCACCTTAATCACCATGCTGCCGGCTGGCCCCCATCACCACTCTTATAACATGACCTTGGGCCTTTAGGTTTTTTTAAATCTATAAATTAAAGGGAGTCACCAAGCTGATCTCCAGGTTTAGTTTCAACATTCTCTGGGTGAACTTGAAAAAAAAGTTTAGTTTGATATAGCCCTTATGGAGGGCAAGTTGGCTATGTCTTTCAAACTTACTGATGCACATACCTGCTGACTCGGCGACTCCCATTTCTGGAAATTCCCCAGATGGATATACTTACATGGATGTGCAATGACAGTTACACAAGGTTATTCCTTACAGAATAGCTTGTGATAAGCCAAATGTTCATCGACACCCTATAGTTCAGTAAACTGATATTTAGATACAACGGTGGTACAGCAAGCAGCTATAAAAACTTTTTAATATATTGGGCCAGGTATGTGGTGTGGCAGTTGGGGTGCTGGCCTCCCACACAGTTAACCACTGGAGACCTGGACCTGGCAGCTTGCTTTCTTAGTTTCCCTCTCTCTCTCTCTCTGGTGAAATTAAAAGAAAATGATAATAATGTATTCAAAACTTTTAATATGTATTACACGTTTTTTTTGACTATGTGTCAGGGACATTGGTGCTGTAGGTTCTCTGTTTCTGTTTTAAGTCAAAATTTTTGTAAAGACCAAACAAGAGCAAAATATATTTAAAGAAGTAACTTCGCAGGATAGCCTCAAAGATTTCAAGGATCTGGGGAACCTGTAGGAACACTCCCTTAACCAAATACTCTCCCCCAGCTGAGGCTCTGAAAAAGCGGAATAGAAATGAAGGCAAGGCCAAATTTGCAGCGGACTTCCTCTGCCAAGAATGATCCAGTAAGGCACCGCCCATTCATTGGGTGTGGCTTTCTGAATGGGGGACTGCTTTTGCAAAGTGTAATTGGAAAGGTTGTGGGTAGCAACAGTTGTATTTGGGGCTAGTCTTTGAGCTCCTCATCTGGGTTACTGAGGTCCCCTAGTGGCCGGCAGGGGAGGCCTGAACAGTCCAAATCTGATAGTGAACGCGAAGAGATCCCTAAAGGAGGGGAGTGGGAACTAACCCCTATCCCCAATCCATCTGGGTCACTACTCACCACCTCACCCCCAATATCAGTGAAAGCTGTTGTGATAAATGGATTATGAAGAAATAGGAGCTTGGACTAAGGAGATGACAGGATGTAATGGAAGAAGTAAATCTTTTTCTCTAAGTCTTTTTATTTTACGTAAAAGAGGCCTACTTTTCTTTGGATGCTACTATTTCAAAGGGGAATTACTTTTAAGAAAGGGAACTTTTTAGAACCGGGGCTGTTCTTTTCGACAAGATATTTAAAACCTTAGTGCCCATCTCCATTTAAGTGATCCTATCCCTCTAAAAGGAAGTGCCTTCCATATTCTTCCTAAAAAAAAAAAAAGGCAAAACAAAGCAAAACTTGAAAACTGTTTCTTCGACCCTCTGAGACACAAGGCCATTGTTTCCTACCTTTGGCCCCACTGATCCTCGACAGGACGTTCCGGACTAAGAGCCCAGATGGGGAAAGGTGGGGGTGGGGTGGGAGTAGACTGACACTTGAGGCTCTCAGACTAAAGGACCTGGGAGCGGGGCAGGGCTGCACCCCAAGGCTTTGGCTCTATTCCCTCTTGCGCTTTCGCTGCTCAACACCTCAATATTTCCATTCTAAATAAAAAGGAAATAACAATCAGAGTTAAACTCAAGGGTAAGTTCTAGCTCAACGCTCTTCTCTGATGCCTTCGCCGCAGCAGCCCCTGGACTTGGTAGAATCTGAGATTCCCGCCCAAGGGAAAGAAGTTCCCATAAAGGGCAACCTTTGGTGAGGGTGCCTTTGGATGTGTGGGTGCGTGTGACATTAGATTATCTTTTCTCCGCGTGAGCCCCTTTTCCTGATTTCTAGCCGTTCAGGTTGAGAATGGAGTGAATCTGGCCGCGCTCGGCATCCGGCTAGACTGCACCGCGGAGGTGCAGCTCGCGGGTGCGGACAGGTGGGCTCCGCGCGGGGGCCTCAGGGAGGGCGCCCTCTGCGCGGACTTGACCGCAGGGGTGCGGCGTCGCTGGTGTGGGTTGCCCGAGCCCCGGCCGGACGACTTGACAGGTCCGGGCGAAAGAAAACATCAAACAAAAACAAAACCCACCGACTTCCCCACGTCGCTGTGCAAGGACATCGTGGGTGGAGCCGAGAGGGGGCGACTAAGTGGAATTCGCGAGGCCGCTACGGCCCGCCCACCTCGCGCCCCAGGAGCGCGGAGCACCCCCAGCCCTTGTCCACCCGGTCCTGTCGGGGTTTGGATTGCGGGAGGAGGTCCGGGCGAAGCCGGCGACCCGCTCCACTCGGGCTTCCCGAGTACTCGGCTTTGCTCCTCGTAGTAAACAAAGTGTCGCCGCCGCCTTCACGCTGGTTCCCCTCCTAGTAATCAAAACACTGTGAGGGCGAGAGACTCACAGAAACACTCGAAAATTACCAGAAAATAATAACAGATCCAAGAAAAAAAAAGAGCGTGAAAGAGAAAAACACCCCACTAACCCCCGCCAACCCACAGCCACCTCCCCGTGGAAAACCAGCCCCCGCCCAGGCCGGTGCCCACTGGCT